GCCTCCACTGTCAGCTCGCCTGCTGCTGCGGGCCGGACTGAGCCAACCTTCGCCCAGGGACTAAGCACTCCCTGGCTCGCCCACTCTTCTGCCACGCCGCCAGAGGGAACCTCACTAGAACAGGGCACCACTCCAGCCCCGCGCTCTAGGCCTTCTACGATGACACCGGAGCCCGCCTCTGCCCAAGGCACCACCCTTCCGGGGCCGACTTCGCCCACTTCCACAGGCCGCTCTACGCCCGCCCCCACCGAGGAGACCACCCTTTCCTTCCCCTCGGCGAGGCCTTCAACCCAGGCCGAAGCGAAAGCAGCGGAAGGGAGCACGGCTTCCCTCCCTTCGGTAACATCTCCCACGGCTGGGCAGCAGGCAGCCTCTAGTCCGGAGGCCACCGGATACACGCCCATGACGCCGCCTTCCACCCTGAAGGCTGGCTCGACGTCTCCCGAAGCTGAAACCACACCCACCGCCGGCAAGGCTTCTCCTACTCAGGCTGAGCTAACCTCGGCCGAAGGGACCAGCGCCCGCGCCCCAGCTTCCGGGTCTGCCCAGCCCAGCTCCCGTCCCACGCAGAGGGCATCCTCTCCGGCCCGGACTCCGCGGCCCTTGTCCACCAAGGTGGCCGCCACTACGCCGTTCCCCACGAGCTCTTCTACGCAGGCAGAAGCCAGCCCAGCTGCAGGAGGGAGTACCTCTTCTCTCCTGTCTGCAGGCTCCAGCCCTGCTGGGGCAGGGAGCAGGTCCGCCGGAGAGCCGGCCGCCTCTACTGTCAGCTCACCTACTGCTGCGGGCCGGACTGAGCCAACCTCCGCCCAGGGACCAAGCATTCCCTGGCTCGCCCACTCTTCTGCCAGGCTGCCGGAGGGAACCTCACTGGAACAGAGCACCACTCCAGCCCCGCGCTCTGGGCCTTCCACCATGACACTGGAACCCGCCTCTCCCCAAGGCACCACACGCCCCGGGCGGACTTCGCCCACTTCCAATGGCCGCTCTACGCCTGCCCCCTCCGAGGACACCACCCTTTCCTTCCCCTCGGCGAGGCCTTCAACCCAGGCCAAAGCCACAGCACCAGAAGGGAGCACGGCTTCCCCCCCTTCGGCAACATCTCCCACGGCTGGGCAGCAGGCAGCCTCGAGTCCGGAGGCCACCGGATCCACACCCATGACGCAGCCTTCCACCGGGAACGCTGGCTCGACGTCCCCGGAAGCTGAAACCCACGCCCACCGCCGGCAACGCTTCTCCCACTCAGGCTGAGCTAACCTCGGCCGAAGGGACCAGCGCCCGCGCCCCAGCTTCCGGGTCTGCCCAGCCCAGCTCCTCTCCCACGCAGAGGGCATCCTCTCCGGCCCGGAC